ACTACGCGTCTTTCCGGATTTACCTGAATATCCAAATTTTTCTGTACATACGATATAATTAATTAAAATATTTTAAAATACTAAAAATTAATTTAATCAAATTACAAGTCCAATGGCCATCCAACGGAATATCCGAAATTATCGAAATCCATATCTGAAAAAACTTTCGGCTCTCTATTTAGCGAATTGGATTCACATTTTCTGAGAAAAATTTTCATCTTTCCGGACAGCAAACCGGAACTCCAAAATGGTGGACCGAGTTCCCATACTCGTGGCAGACCCTTCAGCTTCCTGAATGGATCGACTTTCCCCATTCTCGAGGAAGCCTCCTCGGTTCCCGCATAGGTGGGTGGCTCAGCCGAGCCCGCGCGACCAGCTCGACACCGATCCCGCCCCACCGTCGTTCAACCACCCCCAAAGCTTTAAAAAAACTATTTTACCTTTTGATGTGGGTGATTTGGCCTCAGCTTGGCTCCTGGTCACCTCCTTTCGGTCACCCCGCGATCCTTTAGCTCCTAAACTTACACACACACACACATGAACACTCGTTTAGTCAAAAGCACAAATTGAAAGAAAAAAAAGGAACGCACCTAACTCGGGTGCGGTGCTTGAAAATCTGAATAGTCTCGGATTTGGATTCTGCCGTCACACGATGCTCCTCGGCCGCGATTCCCTTTCTTCTTCTTCCTCCTCCGTGGTTCTCTCTCTCTCTCCTCTCTCCTTGCGCAACCGTTCTCGATTTCTCTTCCTCCCACTTGGCCATTCCCTTTCTCTTCCCTTTTTCTCTCTTTTCCTTTCCCTTCCCCTCTTCCTTTCTGGACTCTCTCTTTTTTCCTCTCTCTTTTTTCTCTCTTGGCTTCCCCACGTGTCAGTCTCCTCTCTTCCCTCTTCCGCTCGACCACTCTTTTTTTTCCTTCCTTTTCTCACTCTCTGGCCTCCCTCTTCCTTTGCTCTCCTTCTTTCTTATCTCTTAGCTTCCCTGCGCGATCGTCTTCTTCCTCCTCTCCCTGATCGCCTCTCTCTCTCTCTTTCTCTTGTTAAAATGAATAAAAATCCTAATCTCTTCTCCTTTTATACCCGTTTCCTCAACCGTTGGATCTTCATGACTCGATTTAAGCCGTTCTTTTTTTTTAAATCTCCTTCATCCAATCTCCTTAAGCGGCCCGATCTAGGTTGTCAATTCTCCTAATTTCTTTTGTTCATTTTCATTTTTTTTTATTTATGTTTTTGTCTTTTTTTTCTTACCTACTTTTATTTAGGTTCTTAAAATTAATTAAAAATTTTAAAATTTTAAAATTTATATATTTTTTTTTCTCTTAAGTGGGTATTATAAATGTATATAATATTGTTAAAATTAATTATATAACATTAAAAAACTAAATCGTTAAATTTTCAGTTTAATTATTCCGTTGTAGTCAATTCCTGTAATCCAATAAAAGGCCAGTGCTTTTGTGCTTCAAGGTATAAAATGACGAAAAGGCCGATAATATCCTCAACCATTTACAGCCTAAAAAATAAGAACAACGTAAAAGAATTTCAGTTAAGCTGCAAAATCTCTCTACTCCTCCATGCTCGATTGAGCATCTATTAGGGTTTTTGGTGAGGATCACGACCATGCTTTCCATATCTAATCGACGTGTTTACATTATGTTATGTGAGATCGAGTGTATAACATTGTTACTCTAGCCTTATCTCACGTTCTTCCTCCCTAATTGTCTTCTCTGCTCTTCACTGTAAGCGTGTCTTCTCAGTTTTTTACTATATATTTATTTTTTTTCAATTGTAATTTTTCTAAGAATTTGAAGATTATTGCAGAAAACTGGCATTTCATCGCCGACTCAGTTTTAGCTTTTAATTGGCCTGTTAACAAAAGTTATTTTTTGATGCTTACCAATAAAGTTTCAGAGAGTTGACGGAGAGATTTGAGGGGCTTGTTTTGAATTCATTTTCTCCTAATTGACAGGTCATTGAGTTAGTGTACAATAAAAATTCTCAAGCTTAAGAATTTTTTGGTCACAAGTATGATCCTCTGTTAAGAATTCTTTTCTCTTTGATGGCGTTGTTGGTTGTAGCCGATCCATTAAGTTGTTTTACGGATGATTTTGTGATTTTTTTTTTTTTTGTGTTAAATAGTTTCTGTAATAGTTATTTCTACCCAAATACTCTTTACCAGTTATATTGCCCTAAAAATTAGAGAATGCCAAAATGAAAAAGGAAACCTCTTTCCATGTACAGTTTTTTCCTTATTTTGTGATTATTATTGTTGGGAGAAACAAAATTTTTGTTTTGCCTGGTAATTGTAAAGATTTGCAGTAAATTAATTAAGTTTTAGGAATGGTTGTTTTCTGTGTTGATTACCCGTGATAGGATTTGATAAGGTGCCACAGGGTTAAGATGCAGTTAAGTGAATTAGAGTAAAGCAGAGGGAATTGTGTTATTTTCAATGCCATTATATATCCAACAAGTCTCAGATTAATGGTAATAAGTTTCTTGTGTGGTAGTCTATGAACTTGAGATGGTTTTATTCATGCGCCTTAAAGAATGGCTCGAGAAAATACACTCTTGTTTGAAGTTTAATTCAAGTTCTAGTTAATAACAGAGTTAGTGTTATGTTGTGGGTGAAATTTCCATTATCCTTAATCAACCTGCTTTTTCCCTTTGCGTTTATTTTATTCCTACTCCTTAGTTTTTCACTTAATCTTCAAGTTTGTTTTTAAATTTTCTACTTCTAGATTGTAAGTTAGGACTTATTTACATTCTTCATTTGTTAAAATTTTTTCTTTTTTTTTCTTGAATTAATTAGGAAGTAGGCATCTTATTATTGGCGATCCATTGAGATAGGAAATGTAAAAAGTAAGAAAAAATGAGTGCAAATATTGCTGCAACTTTCTTCATATTGGTTTTACATGGAAGGAATTCCTATTGGTAATCTTTTTTGGCTTCAATATGGGATTAGGGATGGTTGGTGATGATCCTTTGGAGTAATTTCAGTATAAATCTCCACACACACATACATAAGATGCAGACCCAGATGTTTAATTAAGCATAATTTTCTTCAGTTGTATGATTGAAGACAAGAATGCTCTGTTCTTAACTGTCTGAAGCACTGTTCAAGGAGCTGACAAAAGAAGTGCTTTCTTTTTTGCCTGGTCATGTCTTCAAATAATTTAGTTTTCTTCTTATTTAATTGCCAACCTTTCAAATAATTTAATTGCCAAACTGACAAAAGCTGTAATTTCCTCGCAACTTCCATAGTTGCCGAGTTTGTCGTAAAATTCTTTCAGGTTTGGGATATATCCATGGACCTTTTGGTATAAGCTTAGAAGGCCACGAAGTACCATGGACCCGGTTGAAGGTATATTATGGCCACAGAATGTTTTCAGATTCTCTGGTTGATCTCATTCAATATTATCAAAGGAAAATGGATTAGAATTATGAGAAGTTGGTGACTCATATCAAAGAAACAATATGATTTGTTGAGACACAGCATTTGATCATGTTGTGTTATTTTCAGGTTTACAATTCACTCTGTTACATCTGCAGGAGAAGATACAACAATAGGATATGCCTATCTCTTGAATTGAAGCACCTGCTTACATATTGTACATGTTACAGTAATTGCTGAACCTTTCTTTTCTTTTCCTTTTCAGAAAAATTGTGTAAACCAGATTGATTTCATAGAATTAGGCTCGGCAAATTAAATGCAAAAAATATTCATTGATTCAGTCAGTAAAAAGTTCTGTGCTGTAAACCTCAATTCAGTCTCCAATTCTCACTTGGTAATTTCAGCAGTACCAGTCATTTTGCTTAATAATTCTTCTCACTTGGAGCTCTTAGCAAATGGCTTGGCTTGCTCAACAAAGTGAGTGCTTTTTTTTTTTTTTTTCTTTTTCATTTCTTAGTTTCCCAAATTAATTTGTTTACAATTCTTGACTGATTGGTTTGATTGCCAAGATTAGATTCGGTAAAGATAGGAATAGTGTACTCAATTAGGATTAATATCTTCACCCAGGTGAGGAAATTGTAATTGTAGTTTTCTTTATTAACCGATGCATTCTAGAAATTAAGGTTAGTATTCTCGATATTATGGCCTAATTATATTATCTTACAGTTTTATTAGCCTATTAGCATGTTCTAGAAATTTCACTTGATGTTTTTCATTACCAACCATCCTTCTTTATTATTTTACAGTTTTCCTTTGATGATTGACTCATTTATAGTTTTGATTATCACTATTATTCAGGTTTAATTTCTATTTGCAGGTGAAGCCCGAAGTTGAGGATATCAGAGACGGATAAGAAAAGATTAATTAGAGAGAGGAATGATAGATGTTAAGTAAAATTTTACATTTGTTGAAGATATATTTTTCTTTTGTAATTTACATTTGTTATAAATTTTTTTGTAGATCTCGTAAGCTTTGTCGAACTAAAAATAGCCTTACAGAATCACCACAGCATTTAGAGTTGCTTGAAGTATGCTATTAACTTAGTAATAGATTAAAATTGAAAAAACCAACTGAATTGTTGGATTTTAATAATTGTTGTCGGGTGCTACAACAGTATTTGGTGGCTGTTAATATAGTGTTGTAGGGTAAAGCATTATAGAGATCCATTGGTCATATACATGCATATTTACCTTCCAACACGCTTTGGAACTATCGGTATAGAACCGATAAACTAGATGAAAACAACAGCTGTTCATATAAATTTGTGCAATCTAATATTAACAGCTCTAGATTCTATAATAATGATCTAATTGTTCTTGTATGTCATTTTTCTTGTAGTGATGAATTCATCATTTGTGATTGTGAATGAATATACATGTTACGTAGAATTGTGCTTATAGCTTATACCACTGAAAGAGGCTATCTCCTAATATTCCTTATGTTTAAGTTTATTTATAGAATTTTTTCAAGGTTAGTTTCCTTTACATACAGTTTTCTGGGCATGGCACTTTCTGAGATTAAGAAGATGTCCATATCCCAAACTGAGAATAAACCCCAAAAAGACCCCTAAAGCATCATAGAAAACAAAATAAAATGTAGAAGACGATACTAGCTAGGGCTTGCAGAACATAACCAAAGCTCTAGAAAAACTTCTGACAAGAAGATCCAGCCCACACGAATTGAAAATGAAGCTGGCTGTTCCTTAGTAATTTACCCAGTACCTGTCAATATTTAGTACTTATATTAACAACCATGAAATGTTATCTACGTTCCTGCCCTCTGTGTACATATATATATATATGTATATATGTATGTATCGAAGCTAGCTAACGGTACTGCAAAAATCATTAACCAAATTATAGCATTCAAGGTTAAAACAACACACGAAGATAACTAGGCAGTAATAACTACTGATCAAACAAGTACTAGGTACGTAGATACATAGATACATACAAGCCAAAAAATAATTGGAGTACAGAAACAACTTAATTAATTTCCAAACAAACACATAATTATCATAATTAAATAAGTTCATGCAGCATTTAATTGATTCATTAACACGCTGAATCCAAGGCTTTCTTTAATCTTGTCAAGTCTTGACTGCTCCACCCCAAAACCACAATTTATTCAGCCGCCAACCTCTTTCAAATTAAATGCTGTTCAGGTCCTGCAGTATGTTCTTACTTCAATATATGTTCAGAATAATATGTATACATACATTATTACGAAGATAGATTATGATTAAAATGCCAGATATATTACAAACACTGAATTGACATCTTCTACGGTATTTTGTTATATATATATATATATATATATACATGGAAAAAACATTGTCATAATTTATCTATATATATATATATATATATATATAAGCACTTACACTATCCATCTTACCCTGGTTGCTGCTCTCCAGCATCAATCCAAGATTAATGTGAGGGAATCTTGCCCACTGACAATGTAGGAAAATAATATATATAGTCTATCAGTACATATCAGTACATAATTTCTCTTTAAGATATATCTCTCTCTCTATATATAATGAAGGGTATGGTTTCAGTATACAGTGTGGATATATGGAGAAGCTGTAGTATTAATATTAAGGAATGCGTAGGTGTATATGTGAATGTAAAATATATATTATATGTGTATATATATACACACACATAGACATATTGCTTACATAGACATATTGCTTACATTTTTAGCTGCAGTACTGAACGCTTCTCTGTGGCTAATCTCAGGATTGTTCACCTTGATCCTGTGAATCTCCTCCCTGCGTATCTCATTTTTGTGTTATACATGATACGTCGTGTGTATAGACTTATATAAGTTCACGCATACATATAAGTATAGATGTGTGTACACCATTGAAGAAATATAAAGTAAGAAGGGATTATTACTTGATAAACTGATTGTATAAGGAAGGGGTCCGGTGCCTCTTTTCAGGAGCTGAAAAAGGAAGATGATGGTTCAGATTGGAAAAGTGTGTGTTGTGTATATAAATATAAATAACCAGAAGCATATATATAATATAATATGTATATAGGCGGATGATTCTCACGTCGATTAACAATCCTTTCAGTGGTGGGATTTGCAGGTGGTGCTCGCTTGTTCTTGCATTTGGAAGATGAACTACCCAAGTCAAGTTTGCAGTGAAGTGAAGAGCAGGCAGGAATCTACTTATTACATCACCCAGAAATTAGTTAAACTCGTAAACAAAACCAGTATATATATATCTATGAACCAGATTTATGCCTATATATATATTTGTATGAATTAATATATCATGGATGTACTTATAACAGATCTCAAATTGTTAAACAATAGATAAAACTGTACAAGTAATTAATCAATCATCCTTTGTTTGGACGAGTAATACTTCCTTTCATCTATAAAACTTGTAGCTTTGGATCAGGTTTTGTGTTCTCATATATTTTTGTCAGAAGCTTGTATTATAAATAATGTGTATATATGGTGTAATTACTAATGCATAAATTTTTGTTAAAAGATTAACAAACAAATCAAATAAAGAAATAAAATCCCCCAATTTAAGCAACATAAACAAATTGTATGTATATATATATATATATTAACTCAACCAAATATGTGGCTTTGTTGTTTCTGGGTTCATTTAGTATATGCTTACCTTATTATTTTTTAAATATACAATACAAGGATTACATCCTAAATTTAATTAATTTAATAAAATTAAAAATCTGTCTAAAATTCTCAAGATAATTTTTTTTAAAAAAAAGAAAAAACAAGAAAAGCACTGAAATGAAAAGAAGAAAAACAATCTGAAATTCTGAATGTACCATATAATGCCACCAGAATTTAAGCTCACAAACCTGCACACACCAGTTTTCCAATTCTTGAGAAAAGGGCTTGTGGGGAATATAAATATATATATATATATATATATTAATAAAAGGATCATTCGAAGATTAAAATCCAACAATCAAGATGATGCCAAGTTATCATTTAACCTAACAAAGTACGAAGACAAAACTTCATGTCAATCAAAATCAAACCCAACATTCAAAATGGCGGCTTTTACCATCAATCAACAGTTCCCCTCTTAACTTAAAGCTCAAAATTTTAGGTGTCAGCTATGGCTGCCGCACCTCTAGGAATTATTTTTCTTCAATCCAACAATATTTCCTTCATTTTTTTTTGAAAAAAACCATAACACAGGGCAAAAGGAACCTAGATCGAAGCTATTAATTAAGAAGTTTAAACAAGTTTAACTCAAATTTAAACAAGAAATTTCCATAAGAAAAGTTTAAACAAGAAATTAGATGACCTGAACATCTTTCGAAGACATGGAATATTGAAATGCAGCTCCCATGTCCACATAGCATACGTTGGTGCAGTGTCCGCATCGGACCGTCATGATCTCAAACAAGTTGCTGCATGGAACACTTACCTGCTCAAATTCAAACTAAACTGTTAATAGATAAAAGAAATTACAGCAAAGATCAAGATTATACATATATATATACATATATAACTCGTTATATCGCCCTTAGGTTTTCGTCAGAGAGATCCAGAGGAAGCAAGAGGTAGTAAACCCAACTGGGTTTGGCTTACATGGCCGTGAAAAGTTCTGTGTTGTACTGCATTATGAATGTTACTTTAATTGAATGGCTAATTGTCAAAAATTTCTGGGCTTTTTTTAAGAGATCAAAAGCAGAAAAGCACTGAATTAGGGATTACTGTTCTTCTTTTTAATACGGAAAAATAGATCAGAGCTCTGAGATTGAAATTCATGGCTGTCACTCCCTTCATTCTCTTTTTCTGCTCCCACTCGACAAAAAGAAAACCAGAAAGGTTGAAACCCAACTAGCCAAGGGTGATAAAACAAATTTTTATTAGCTAACTGGACATGGGTAAATATGTATATACATATATATGTATTTATCTTCGTAAAAATATTTGATATTGATGAAAGTTCTTATGAGAAAGTAGGGTTATCATAATTAATTGATACTTCTTTCCGACTTTCAAAAAACAAGTTTTGATCAGAAAAAAATTTGAAAACCTTATTTGATCAGTTTAACAATCTTTTGAAATTTAATTTCCAAACCCATATAGTGATAAAGCTACAAGCTTTGCAAATCAAAACTACTGGTGTTTTTCTTTAGCAAGTGGGAGGTTATTAACTTGATCATATGTATATACATATAGGGATTAGACTATTAGCACTTATCAAGAAAAAGAAAACGGAAAAATATGGGTTAAGTACCTTAAGCATTTTAATAACTAAGATGATCATTATATATACATATAATATATGTGTTATCCATAAAATTCTATGGAGAGAAAAAAAAAAAGGACAGATCAAGTGATAATCATATGTTTGGATTCTCCCCAAGTGATCTTGATGCGTTTATTTCTCTAGCGAGTGTGATTTTGTGTATGACTTTTAGCAATGGAGAACCTTTATCCATGACTTTTGTTTAAATGTAAAAGAAGATCAAGAAGAGAAAAAAGAAAAGGTCTTGAAGATAGAGACTTGACATTCTCTTACTGCAAAAAGCAAGAGATGCTTGCTAGCTGCTATCAATATCTTTTGAACATAGAAAACAAATGATCACTTGATCAGAAGCCTAGGCTTAACACTTCACATGATCTAAAGTTTGATTTCTTTTTTCAAGTTATCAAATTTACATGATCAGATATTCAATAAAAAGTAACTATCTATTTATATAAAATTTATAAAGCAGATCCAAGAAAAGGAGAAGGTCACAGAGAGATCAGATACCGCAAGGACAATACTGCAAAAGTTACACGGTATGTAACAGATTTTCTCTGATGCAAAGTTGTTGGAGCTCGACATTTTTGAGTTGTACTTTGACCCAAGAAGAAGAAGAAGAAGAAGAAGATGATGATGATGAAGAAGGAGGAGGAGGAGGAGGAGGAGGAGAAAAAGAAGGAGAAGAAGAAGGAGGAGGAAGGAAGGAAGAAAGGGGAGAAGGATAGGGAGAAGAAAAGCTCTTGCAAAATACTAAACAGAAAAGGGCATATTTATCAGCACCAAAAAGTAAAGAAAATATTAGTGAAGAGAAAAATCCATGGCCAGGAAAGAAATATCATAACAAAGAGGTATACTGGCAGAGTGAAGAGGGGGTAAGAATATTACCATGGGAGGCATAAAATGTAGGGAAGAAATTGTATTAGGGAGAGAGAGGGAGAGAGAGAAAAAAAAAAAGTTGGGTTGGTAGTGTCGTCCAGCATAGAGGCAAAAGAAGAAAAGTGGATTAGGGTTAGATGAGGAAAGGGAAGGGTTTTGGCAGAATCACCTTACTATTGCGCATCATTATTTGCCATTATGATGAAATGAGAGTCTGGACTTACTTTTATTTTAATCTTTAATTTGCTACTAATTTAGGCTCATTTCACATATTAACTCTTAAGTTTATTAGTTTAGTTAGAACTATTAAATTATGAGTATACCATCAAGTAGTTAATCTCTAGAAAATTTCATAAACTATAAAACAATGGAGATGACAAGAGTTCAAACTAGTTAATATATTTTTTAAAATTATTATCAAAAAGAGAGATTAATTGTAGCAAATATTTTTTCTCATAAATAAAATAATTTCTTCAATTCTAATGATAAGTGGTGTTAACCGGAATATGGTGAGAATCTACCAACAAACTATTAAGAATTTATAGATACTGTTTAGTCACCTCATGTCCTCGTACATAAAATATGTGGTTGTGTTGTTTTTAATCGAATATAAAAAATATATATAAGTATTAAGATTCATATAAGAGTTCAAATTATATGTTATTTATAATAACTTGAACTAGTGATTCTTGCTTATGAGCCATAATAAATGATATCATAGTGATATTAAGAATTTTATTGATGGAGTTTTTGATACTCAAATCCTAAATTAAAAATATATATGGTTGTTGAGTTCCGTATGAAGGCTTAAATTGTAAAATACTAATAATTAAAAGCTGATGAACCAATTATTCTTATGCTCGAGTCATCATAACAAAAGTACAAGATAGTAACTACGTAAAATTAAAATTTTTTATATTTCAAATTCTTACAGAAATCAGTTATGTAGAGATAAATAAAAATTTATCATAAAAATAAGAAATTCTAACATAAAAATACCCTAAGAAAGTCATTCCATGGGGTACATAGAAGGCAAAAAGTAGGATGTAAAAATAGAATGATAAATAGATGACTACTAAGAGATTTATTATAAAAATAAGAAATCCTAACATAAAGAAACCCCAAGAAAATTTGTCTATGGAACACAAAAAAAGCATAAAGCAATAAACGAAACTAAAATAATAAAGAAGATGACTACTGAAAGAAGCATAAAATAAAAGCAAAAGATTAGAGGTGTTAAGGGGAAAACTCAAACATGATGTCTTGTATTCGGCTCGAGGACATAACCTAAGATTATATCTTGTGTTTTGCTTCTTGACAACCCTTTTTTTGTCTATATTAATGCATTTAGATTTGATTTTAGTAACTCTTTATGATGTATGATAATTTGAGTTTTCTTTGTAGAATCTATATTTTGCAATCTTTTAGCAGTAAAATTTTTCTTATCTTTCAAAAGTAAGAGTAAAAGATTATCTAGTAGCCAAAGTTAGATTTAAAAGTACCAAACACCAGCATGTATATGAGATGTATATTATCATTGACTATGAAAATTCAATATCCTTATTGTTGATAATGATCAGTCACCAAGAAGTCATAGATAAATAATAAGACAAATTATTATGTTGATCCTTATAGTTTGACATTTATTATAATTTACTTTATAACATTTTCTATTTATTTAAGTCACCTTCTATTCTTCTATAAAAAGAGTTTAAAATTGTTAAACTATATTTAGACGCTTTAAAAAATAAATTAAAGTATTATTTGACTAATTAACTACATTAATAAATTAATGATAAAAGAATCAAACCTAATATTTTTATTAATTTAACTAAGTAATCAAAATTGTTCTTTTTAATATTTTTAAAGCATCCAAACATAACTTAGCTATTTTATTTTTTTATGCTAGAAAATAAAAAGAAATTGAGAGTTTCAAATAAATAAAAAAGTTATAATACAAAAAATTATGGATCAAATTGTAATAAGTACTAGACTTCACAAATTAATTGGATAATTTGTCTTAAATAATAATATATATTCAGAAAAAGAAAGACTTGCCTAGTTATACTCTCATTTTTTTCTCTAGTTTCTTTTACTAGGTTGGGTTCAGTTAAACAATCCTACTAGTAACTATTTGGTTATGCGAATTCTTGTTTCTTTTGTAGGAAAGCACATTTTTGTTTAGCTTTCTTGGAGTTATTAGTAATATAAGAGATTACCTCCACTCTTGCCACTACATTGTAAACGTCCCAAATGAGAACCTTTAAGAGATTTTAAAATATTTAACTAGTATCTTTAATGTGGAGTATATTCTTGGTTGTCTCCAGATATCCCTTACCTATTAGTATCTTAGCCATCTCTAATGGGAGAGTTCAATAAGTTGGAGATTATGGACGTTTTCTTCCACTGGTAGTTTGATCAATATGATTAGTAATGGATTAGTTAACATTTCAATGGAAGACCATGGAAGTAAGATAAATATCCGATTTAGTGTGTGTAAGATAGGCATGATAGATTAAACAACTCAGTATCAAAGGTGGTATTCCACACCTTAAAGAGGAGATCTCGAAAATATTTTGTTGGACCCTACTTTTAGCCTATTATCTCAAATTTAATATGGATGGTTTTTCTTAAGGTAAAGCTGGTCCTGCCAAAATCGAGGTTATCTTGAGAGAACATAGTAGGCATGTGCATTACATCTTTATGAAGAATGTGAGTATCTTAAACCTAATATAATGAAACTTTTAGCTATCCATGAGGCTATATTGTTCATGGCCTCATATGAGTTAGCCAACTTGATATATCTTATAATCGATAGCAATTTTATTAGTGGCATATCCTGGATTATAAAAAGAAAAATGTTTTAGAAATTCAATCATAAATCAATTTCTTTTGTCCACATCAAGAAAAAAAATTATATAATAGATGAATAGGTTAAAGTTGGATAAGTAAGGAGGATATACAAAATATGTATTTAGATATTTTAAATGAGTTTATTAGAGGTTAGGTTTAACCAATTTGGTCTATCTTTAATTATAACTCACTTTTTTTTTTTTGTTTCCGTTTTTGGATTTATAGTTTTCAGTGCAAAAAATGCACTATTTTCTACTACTTACAACTTGAAATTTAGATTCTTCAACATACATACGATATTCATTATTTCTTGGGTTTCAAGATCTCCTAAATGCATACAAAATTTTTTATAATGTGCCTAACATAGTTTCTATTTAGTACAATTTTTCATTTTTATTTTGGCAATCATGGGTCTTGTAGGCTTGTAGTTTCAAGTTCATCCATGAGGGTGTATAATGTGATTTTGTCCTTGTTAAGGGTCATGAATCTCTCCCATTTGATGAAAAGCTTTAGTAAATATGTTGATATTTTCTAAGTAGAATGTAGAATTCTAGTTTGCATGAAAGAAGGTATTTAAATAAAAATTCGACTCTCGTTTAAGGCATATGACTGTATATTATTAGTGATATTCTCGCGAGCATGAGATTGAATGATTTATCTGTATGTGTGTATTTATGTTATGCTAGTTTTAGTTAAAAGTAGAGTCATGCAGGTATTAGTTTTAAGCAAACATAATTTATGAGTAGATTATTTATATATAAGTACATTATTCAATAAAATTTTAAAATATTAATAAGTTTAGAAGTTTGTGAGAAGGAAAAATCAAGGTAGAGTAAACTTGAAAATTTTTGAGATAGGAATGATTACTCTGGAAAATAAAAAATAAAAAATAAAAGGTAAAGAAAGAAGAAAAGGAGTTGAAATAATGAAATTAAGTAAAAGAAAAAGCAAGGTTCTTCTTCTTGTACTTTTGCTCGTTAATTGCCCATCTCTTCTTTATAAGACCCGGTACAGTCTTCTAAGTTCTAGCTCTTGTGGGTAGTGTTGATGTTACATATATATATACTTTGGTCTTCTGCTTTATACACACACCATATATATATATATACCACCTTAAAATTTAATATGAAAATGTAAATATATATGTTTGAAGAATATTTGGGTTTGGATGGAATTTTCTAAATTTCAATTTCAGTACTATGAAGTAATAATAAAAGAATTATATAATTGATCATAGTATATAATTGAAGGAAAAAAAAAAAAAAAAGATTATGGGGAAGAACCGTCACAAGTGCACATGCAGTGATGGGCACAAATGTTAGAAGAAAATGCGACAAGTAACATTATTGATAACGAAAAAAGTAAGTGAGTGTCTGGTACAAGGAGTCATGGTTTATTTTTATTATTATTATTATTATATAATAATGTTCACCATATTATAAAATAAATCGATATGGGATGGCAGCCAAACTACCTACCTCTTCCTGCTACGTATCACACTACCTTTATTTTGGAAAATATTATCACTCCTTTCTACACCATGCAAAATTTTCTATGTGGCGTCACATCATATCAAATAATTTCCTTTACTGCGAATCAGAGATTTTTTTTTTTTTTTTTCTTTTTATGTTTGTTTAAATAGTGTGTGTATACATATACATATATATGTGTGTGTATATATATCTTTTTAAATTCAAAAAAATATTAAAAAGCATTACAAATATTGAAACTATTAAAAACAACTTGTATATAATAAACAAATTTACCTTAAACACATGTATCAAAATATACTCTCTCCAATTTTCAAATGTCCCACCAATCCACCACAACATATGTATACACACATACATACGTACATACATAGAGAGAGAGAGAGAGAGAGAGAGAGAGAGAGAGAGAGAGAAGGAGAGAGAAAGAGGCTACCTTTTCTTTTTTCTTTGTTGTGATTATGGTATTTCGTACGTAAATTGAATTAATGTCCCACTAGCAAAAAAATTTATCATCTTATTATAATCTCTTTTTTTTTTTCTTGTCTGTAACTAACCTAAAGAGACTTTGGGTCCGTACAATTACAGTGTGAGGGATATATATTTATATTTCTTGATAAATTTTCAAAGTAAATTACTTAAAAATTTTATATGATTAAAGATTTACATAAAAGAGAAAAAAGTAGTTATGTAATTTAATCAGACAATAAATATTTCTAGTTCAGATGGTATAATAATCTGAT